AAAGCTGGCTCCTGTTCCTTTCTAAACTTGTGCTCAGGGATGGATGAGAGCAGCCAGAAGAGCCAGCAAGTGAAACCAAGGCTGAAAAATTAAATTAGCACGTGAGATGGAGTCAACAAGACTGAATGGTGGAAAACAGATATCCAGCAGGTGAAGATTTTAGTGATCATGGAGCTTTATAAAAGATAACAAACAGCATACAAGATCAAATTTATATTTTACAGTAGGAACACCCCTATACCCTTCCTTGACTATATCTTGGCCTATGAACCACATTGCCCTAACACATCAGTGCACAGGCTCAATCCAGCATTGCACAGATCCATACTCATGGCAGAAAACAAAACAACACACAGAAGCGAAGGAGCTGGGCAGCTCTGGGAAAGGGAAGTTTCTTTGGAGGTAACCAACAACTGTTGCCAGACAGGTATTGGCCAAGATCATTCCTCTTCTCAGTCACAGGGTTTCAGAGAGTCCTACAGGTGAATCTGGTCATCTCTCTACAAAAGGTATAAAGAAAAAACATGCAGAAAGACTCAAGATGGCCCTAATTTTGTTAGGGGTTGCAAACAAAGTACATTTTACCTCTCGTTTCATACACATTTACTCATCATTTTTACCAACTATTCTAAATCATGGTTAATAAGCCTTTAAATGACTATTTCTGAAGCAAGGGACAACATCTACTTGACTGATTTTACTGAGGATGTAACTAGAATAAGGCTGTGCTTCATATGTTTAATGTGCTCAGTGTGGTGCCAGCACGGCCATTATTGTCTGCCAGCTATCGTCTCTTGAGTCTTATTCCCTATTTCCTTGTAGTGGATCAGCTACCACATTCACATTGCATGACATCTCGGGAGTTATCTGGTTGGCTGCACAAACTCAGCTGAAGTCTGTATCATATAGAAAGCCCAACCATATAATACTAATGATCCCATCTTGCCTTGAAATCCACAATGACTTGGTAAAAGAATAAAACATATCAGCCATCAAAGCTAGACATGTTTCCTAAATAAAAAATGGTTGTCATTTTACAGTGTTACAGCCTAACACAGAATAGCCTCCCATGGGGATAGCTAGGCGCTATCATGTTTCTGTTATGTCTGTTTCCAGGTGTTGTCATAGTTTGGATTTCGTAATTTACTCGAAAAACCCAAAGTGTAAATATCAGTCAATATAATGAGATTAAGGCAAGAAAGAACAGGCGGCACATGCTACATGCCTGTGGATTCGTATCTGCCAAACCTGCCTTTACTCAAGCACAACACAAAAGCTGCCTGTGCAATTTAGAAGTCCTTAGAAGACCTAAATGAATGCAGCTGGTCTGTCCTGTGAAAGAAATAGGCAGGTGGCTTCTCTTTATGTAAAATACTTTTCCTGAAGACAAAATGCAACAATAGTTGGCTGATTTCACTGAAGTACAACAAAAGGTCCAATGATGCCTAAATAGATGGAAGTGTTGCTCGTGCAGTAATCATTAATTCAGAAGTTCGTCTGGACTCCAGAGCTCTGTCGAGAAGATTATACAAAAGCTCAAAAACCAGGAGGGCTACCAAGCAGATGAGTACAGTGCAAATTTAGGAAGGAGTGCCAAAGGAAAGGGTTATGTGATCTATAGCATGGATTTCAACATCTGGGGAGAACAGTAAAAGCTGGAAAGTTTCCAAGAAACAAATGGCAGTTAGACACTTTCTAAATAAACTAGAGGCCAATCACCCCATTGCCATTTGTGAGTTTGAAAAATTCCTTATACTTTTTGTTTGCATTATTAATTAGAAATGGGAGAGAGAGAAGGTAGTAGGGAAAATTAACAGAACCAAATATGTTTAGTATCAAAACTGGGTGGAGAGGGACAACACAAGATGTAACTATTCCCTAGATCGAGCTCTAATGCACAGCCTTCCCTAAAGCTATTGGAAGCAGGTGGGCTCTCACAGCTGCATCCTCCTTGCTTTCACTAGAGAGATGCAAGTTTTTATTCTCACCAGAGTTCCCAGGGAATGGTTCTCATCATATGGGATCCCCTGGAGCACAAGAACCTGTGAACCAAGGGTGAGAATACAGACCTGAGGGGAAAAAACGCAAAACTCAATGCTTGACAAGACAGAAGCAGCAAAGAGGACAAAGGTGTTCAAATTTGGGAGGTGGAGGGCCCACTTTTTACAGATGGTTTGTGTGAGTGTGGGAAGGAGAGAGATTAACATGGCTACAGCAGGTAGAGTGGTTTCATTAGGGATGTGTTCAATATGGCACTGCACTTTGGACAGATGGAAGGGGGCTTATCTAGCATAGAAAAGGAGAAATTCATTTGACAATCACACCGAAACACATTATTTCACTATTCTTAATCTATGCAGGATCTAGGATATTATGGCAAATTAAAACCTAAAACATTTCCAGTCATAGCTGAAGCTACTTGCCTTTGGTAGAAAAAAAAAAAAAAAAAGCAACCCAAAATCAACTTAATTTTGTGTTTTACATCTCATTGTCTTTTTCCCTTAAAAGGTTGGAATAGTCAACCTTCAGAAACACCAAATGCTTCATAGTGATAAAAAAATCTTGCTTTTCAACATGGCATGAGGTAATTCTGCTAATTCTGATAATAGTTTCCTACTGACTTGGAATATTTATTATACAGCTGAAGCAACTGACTGCAATCTACTTTCTTAAGATCATTATTGTGTCAATTTGAGCTAATTCAGCTGTTGTTTGAAATGCATAGTATACATGTGTCATTTAATATTTATTTCAACCTGCTTTTCTTTTTATTAACCATAAAACTGTTTTTTCTTGTTTAAGCACTAAACATACTTAGACAATTTAAGACAATGACCTGGATATATTTTTCATTGTGTTCAGTTATAAATTAAATATCATAATTACTTTAAATAAAAATGTTTTTCAACAAGAAGCTTTCTAAATAAAATCATCTGCCCACAGACTCCCTGTGAAACATGTTCTCAGATTTCCTTTTAATATTAATCTTGCAAAGGGAATTCAGAAGTTCTTATGATAAAAAATAGCAAATCTACAGTGACAACTAAGTAGTGATTTTCTTTAAAATCCCTTCTAGCTAATCTGATTTTAGAAAACTCTGAAGCACATTTCCAATTTTAAATATCTTAATGTATCACAGCCACTCCAAATGCATCTGTGAATACACAGGAGGATTCATGCAGAAACAAAACAGAGGGAACCACATAGTATTCCCATCTCTGGCACCACATATGGAGGGGACTGCGTAAGTCACATTATGTTGTGATGCCTTGGTTGCCACATCAGTAAAGCAATCCATGGTGGTAACAGCCTTTGAGATCTTTGATTGAAAGACGATGTAGAAAGAAAAAGAATTTGAAAACAGTATTGGTTGGTTTGTTTGTTTTGTTTTTTCCTTCAGATCTGTACTTAAATCGTCATAATTCTAGGTTCAGACCTAGGAACAGGATGCGATCTTGATGAATGACTCACATGGGTTCACCATATTCTGCCCACAGACATGCCTGGGTGCTCCAGAAGCAAAGACTGGGGGGTGGGTGTTGGGTGTTGTGGGTTTTTTTCTTCTTTTTTGAAAACACAGGTGCCATTTATAGGTATGTAAAAGTATATGCATCGAAATATCTTCTTTTTAAATACAGGAGATACCACAGCTACTGCAGGCTTCTGAATTTTGAAGGTAGCATTCTTAGGGCAAAGTATGTTATCTGACATGAAATACATACATACATTTATACCTACACTCACAAAAAATACTGTCTTCCAATATCAAGGAGGCTGTATATAACTGGAAAATGAAACTACTCTAATTTACATAAATATCAAGCACTGTAGGACAGACTACAGTACAATACCCAGCTATGCAGTCACAACAGGAAAGATCAGATACTCCTCACTGATTTCTATCTCTGTATCCAGTTATAGATCAAGACACCTAAAACCCTCTGTTTCCAGCCTTTTATTCCACTACAATTCATCATGCCATGTCTTAAAATAAACACAAAATATAACACAGCATTCTAATGCTCCCATTAATTACCACTACTCACCTTGAGATTACCTACAATACAAACAATACCTTCAGGAATGTATCATCATAAAACACTTTGTATTGATTTACAAACAATACCTTCAGGAATATATCATCATAAAACACTTGAGGGTGCTCCATGAACTGAAAAAGCACCAATGGGATGCAGTAGGAGGAACACACCCCAGAAGGCACATAAGAAGGGACACATGGCTTTCATGGATATTGTGCACAAGTTACACTCTGTTCTTTTTGCATCAAGTGCTATCAGAATTACAGCAAGTATTTAATGAGACTGGCTGGAGTCTCTTTAAAATTTCTTTGTCGAATAATACTTCAATTAATAATGTTTTGATGATTTTTCCATCCAGTGCTTTTGATTTCAAAACAGAAGTACAAAACAGAACTGACTGACTTTGCATGAGGACATAAAAATATACTTTAACTTTCCCTTGTTTATTTTTTCCTTTCCCTTCTAAATAAATCCACTCTGATGCTTAAAAAGCCCATATTTTAAATATACTTTACTTTCATGCATAACAAATTTTTTTTCACTCAGTAGTTTAAAACCAAGCATGTATTTGTTTTCATGCTTCTATGTTTGTTTCTGAAGAGACAAATCTCACTAATAAATGACACAGAACTTTCAAATCCCTGAGTGACTACTATCAATAAAGAGTTATAACAGGAGCATCTTATACAGCTTCTCTGCAAAATAGGCAGATTCTCAGTACAGCCAGCTAAGCAGACACAGGTCTATTTCAGTGCATTCTAGCAGTATTTTTAGCATATTTTTAGCTTCTAAAGCATATTTTTATCTTTAACATGGCAAATTTAAAACTGGTTGTAACTCTCTTCCTCACTGGACAGCTGAGCACAACCTAACAGCTCCAGATGTGTCCTAATGGAGTATGTTTACACATACTCCTTCTCCAAAGGTCTAACTTTCTCAGATCATGCATCCAGCTCTTACCTCAATGGTGTACTGTTCAAAAATCCGGAGCTGAAGGAAAATGTCTAGCTTAATCTTCCTCTCGTGGAAGAGCTCTTCCATCTGTACCTGGGCCTCGTCGAGCTGCTGAAGGACAGATTCAATGTGGCTGATGGAGCTATTATGTGGAGTCTTATTGTTGGAAACAGCAGAGTCCCTGTAGCAAGGCAGAGAGCATGGTTAAAGCTGAGCTTTAGGGCAGGCAAAAGAGCAAGAACTACACATTTGTGATTCTGCATGCTGCTGAGAAGCAAACCCAAGCACAAAGGGTTGAGGGAAGGTGTGTGCAACACTCTTCTACTCGCTGAAATCTTGCAGCTCCTGAGCTCTCCACAAAGTTTGAACAAGGAGATCATCCCTTCTTGTGCTGTGATTCTAAGACTTTACACACTTGGAAGGGGCAGAGGAGGAGAACGACACATCAATCTCAATGGCTCTTTTGAGGAGACTGGCTGGCAATCTCCTTTAATCCTACAGAGTGACCTGCTACAGCCTACACTCAACAAGCTCAGAGATGCTATTTAGCCATGTGAACCTTTACAAGTTAATTTTGTGCATTTGCTTTATTACTGACAGGCTAATGGAAGTCAGAATTACCATCATTTTAGACCAAGGGGTAGGGATGCATTGATTTCCTCTTGATTACTTAGTACAGCAATAGATGCAACATATAGCGCAAAAAATTCCACTGAAGAAAAACACCTTTCAATCACTGTAAGACAGTCTGACTTGTCTTTTCACTAGGGTAAGTGAAATGAGACATGACTGTGACAGGTCAAATACTGATCCATATACACCTTCCATATAGGGGCAGCAGAAAGCAGTTTCTGAAACTGTTATTTAATCTTGGCATTGGTACTTCAGCTAAAACAAGATTTAGATGCAATGGTTTTCCTGTCTGTCCTTCTCAAAGGTGTGTGATAGCAGCTGCATTATTTGACATACTTAAACCACACCAACTGAAAACCCTGTGAAATATACTTTGGAGAGAGCTGTGCACTGATAGGATAAGAGGATGAAGTGAGTAAACCGGCAGGTCTTAACATCATCATGTCAGCCTCCAGTTCTGTGTTGGAGAAAGTAGGGGGTTGAAATACAAATCCAAAAGTACATACTGGACTACTGGCACACCAACAAACTCCCACGTGTTCAGTGAATAACCTGACAATATTGAAAGACAAGTGAAATGTCAGGTAATGCTACCAGGTCACTGCACTGTCCCACAGGGACCAAATGTGGCTGGGAGCCATTCTTCTGGCCAGCTAACCTGGGCTGCTGCATGCAGGTGCTCACAGAGTCACCCCACTGTGGAAAAATGCTACGATGTTCCAAATTTTTATGTTTTTATTTCCCTTTCCTGAGTTGAATTTTCTCTCCATAAACATCTGGCAAAGCATTCTTATTTTCTACAGAACTTGACTGAAATGCTCGTGCTTTGCTCTTTGCAAATTATCGTCACGTATGGTCATATCAAAACAACGTACTGTCAACTTAAATGTTAATTGAACACTGTCAGTGAGCATAATTGAGAAAAAAGTATAACCTTCTGCAAATGCCTTAAACTGAAACTAGGCACTGACATACAGAGTCATTTTGGATAGTTTAAAACACACCTTTTTGCTTCTAAGGCAACAAAACACATCTATTATTCCATTTTCATTATGTGTCTTGAAGGAACAGAACAAGCATTTGCCTGAACAGCTGAAGCCTAAGAATAAAATTAAAAGTACAGAATACTATTAACCACATAGTAGTTTGCTCTTTGGACCCCTCTTTTTCCTCAAACGCTTTATGTTTGATACACTGAATTTCAGATGGTCCAACATTATTCTGAAAGCAAGTACTAGCAACTTCCCTTGTTTATTACGGAATATTACATCAATATTACTCTCTCAGGTGGTGTTGTTTCTGCCCCACTCTGTCAGTATTGTGTTTTCACCTTCTTGGTGACCACAAGTTCTGTCTCTGCCTCCACACTGGATCTGTACAGAGGAAGGATGAATGTAGATAATAAGGTGAGATAATGAGACTGCAGTTTAATCTGAGGCCACATTAAATCAAGTTCTGTTTCCTTCAGTCAGCACCTGTCTTCTTAAAAGGACATTTGCTGGCGAATGAAGTTGCTAAGCCACTGTCCATCATATCTGAAAAATCTTGGCAGTCAGATGAAGTTCCCAATGCCTGGAAAAAGGGAAATATAACCCCCATTTTCAAGAAGGGGAAAATGGATGACACGGGGAATTACAGAGCAGTCAGTCTCACCTCTGTGCCTGGCAAAATCTTGGAGCAGATTCTCCTGGAAGGCATGCTAAGGCACATGAAAAACAACAAGGTGCTTGGTGACAGCCAGCATGGCTTCACTAAGGGGAAATCCTGCCTGAGGAATTTGGTGGCCTTCTATGATGGGGCTACAGAACTGATGGACAGGGGTAGAGCAGTTGATGTCATCTACCTGGACTTGTGCAAAGCGTTCGACACTGTCCCACATGACATCCTTGTCTCTAAATTGGAGAGACATCAATTTGATGGATGGACCACTCGGTAGATAAAGAACTGGCTGGATGGCCGCACGCAAAGAGTTGTGGTCAATGGCTCAATGTCTGGCTGGAGACCAGTAACGAGTGGTGTCCCTCAGGGATCGGTGTTGGGACCGGTCTTGTTTAACATCTTTGTCGCTGACATGGACAGTGGGATTGAGTGCACCCTCAGCAAGTTTGCTGATGATACCAAGCTGTGTGGTTTGGTTGATACCCTGGAGGGAAGGAATGCCATCCAGAGGGACTTTGACATGCTTGTGAGGTGGGCTGATGCCAACCTCCTGAAGTTTAACCATGACAAGTGCAAGGTCCTACACCTGGGTCGGAGCAATCCCAGGCACAGCTACAGGTTGGGCAGGGAAGAGATTCAGAGCAGCCCTGTGGAGAAGGACTTGGGGGTGTTGGTTGATGAGAAAATGAACATGAGCTGGCTTCAGTGTGCGCTTGCAGCCCAGAAAGCCAACCGTATCCTGGGCTGCATCAAAAGGAGTGTGACCAGCAGGTCGAAGGAGGTGATCTTGCCCCTCTACTCTGCTCTCGTGAGACCTCACATGGAGGACTGCGTGCAGTTCTGGTGTTCTCAACATAAAAAGGACATGGAACTGTTGGAATAAGTCCAGAGGAGGGCCACAAGGATGATCAGGGGACTGGAGCACCTCCCGTATGAAGACAGGCTGAGAAAGTTGGGGCTGTTCAGCCTGGAGAAGAGAAGGGCTGCATGGAGACCTCATAGCAGCCTTCTGGTATCTGAAGGGGGGGGGTATAGGGATGCTGGGGAGGGACTCTTCCTTAGGGACTGTAGTGACAGGACAAGGGGTAACGGGTTCAAACTTAAACAGGGGAAGTTTAGATTGGATATAAGGAAGAAGTTCTTTACTGTGAGGGTGTTGAGGCACTGGAATGGGTTGCCCAGGGAGGTTGTGAATGCTTCATCCCTGGCAGTGTTCAAGGCTGGGTTGGACAGAGCCTTGGGTGACATGGTTTAGTGGGAGGTGTCCCTGCCCCTGGCAGGGGCATTGGAACTAGATGATCTTAAGGTCCTCTCCAACCATAACTATTCTATGATTCTATGACATGAAATATGTCTTCATTCAAATGCAGGATTATTACTATTCATATATTATCGAAATGATGCAATGAATTATTCAAGATTGATGTTGAATAATCTCTCATGGGATCTAGAGACACACTTGGGTTTAGAAATACTTTTTCATTAAACATTTCACTCTTCAAATCAAGCCACACGTGTATTTCAGTGGCTGATGCAATACAAGAATTCAAGTGTAATAATCTGGTATTTTTTCCACAGTCTCCTCACATAAGGCTTTGACAATCCCTACATAGTCTGGCTTGAGAAAGATCCTCTTCCAGAACAAGACACTTCTGAGTTTGTTTTTTTTTTTCCACAAGATTTCTTGCTCTGTCTGGTGATGAGAAATTCTGAGAAAGAATTCATAAAAGATCCTTATTAGCCTTTTATGCCTCTGGTTATGGATTAGAGTTATAAAATGCAGGGAAATTATTGGCAAAACAAATACATAATAAACTTTGGGAAACATAAAATTGGTCTTAGTGCACCGCTGTTGAGTTTGGTCCGAAGTAACACAGTGCTCCTGAAACCACTTTCAATGAACTAATTGGGAGAAAGCTTGGTGAAACATACTCATTACCAACAGCTCATATACTGAGCTACTGTAAAGAAGGCAAGATACATAACTCTTCACTGTACTTTTTTTTGCCCATAACATCCCTGTTCTTTCATACCTCACTAGAGCAAGTCATTGTTTTGCCTTTTACAGATGTGCAGAAAGATTTCCCCAGTAGCACTCCCAGAAATGAAGTTCAAAAAATTTGCTTCAAGTTGACTGCAGAGAACGATGATCACCTCAGTAAAACACTGGTAAGGAAGAGTGAAGAAAGTGTTTCCAATGCTAACTGTGACATGTAAAGTGTGGCTAGCCAGGCCTGTTTTATTCCTGGCAGGTATGGTCTCCTGATGAAGAGTCACTGAAGGCCTTGAAGACCTTCTATGAAAAGCAGTCCCAGGTATTACATTTAACTAGTTCAGGGAGCTGAGCTTCTCCTAAGTGATCTGGAGGAGACACAAAGTGCTATTACACAAATGATCTTCCCTAAACCAGTATCTCTTCTCTCAAAGATAAAGAAACACAAAATATTTCAAAGCCCCATTCGTTTCATTTGTTTTAATGTGTGCTATGATACACTTGATAAGAGCAGTTGTATTTCATTTTCTTCATTGTTGTAGTGTTTGCAGTCTTCAGCTGTTCTTCATGGCAGGTACAAAATGATCTACACCGTGAAATGCAATGTTGTGTTAAGGAAAGATTGCAGCAGTTCTTATTTTTCCTCCTTTACTTTATCTGTGTGTTCTTTACTTTTGCCAGCAGCCACAAAACCTGTTGGAGTGGGCACACACAAAGGTGTTTTATGGTTTGCTTACACAGTTTTGCTTCATTTTTTGAGAGTCCAGAATCACATTACAGGCTTTGCACTTAAGAGTGGTCAAAACCAACACTTGAATCAGAGATTGTCTTGACAGTTCAGCTCTACAAATCTTTGCGTGTGTTCAGGGCTTCTGTCCTTCAGATGACTCTTCTCTCTGTGTTTGATTTTAGCTTTATCAGAAGCAGGGGATCACTTTGCACAAATATGTTTACCCTGATTCATCTTGCTCACTTTCCAGAATGCAAGCCAGACCCCAAAAGCAACACTTCTTTGTTAAACAGCTTCCACAAAATCTGTCTTGACATTTCAGTAAAGTTCCAAAACTGTTCTAAAAAAAATCCAAAAAAGGTCTCAAACCTGAGACCACCCTTTCTTTTCAAAGACTGAAACTAAGAATTGACTAAGTGTACATTAAAAAAAAGGTGAAGTCCCCCAAGCTCTTTCCCAGTTCACCTCTTCTTCTTCACGATCTTGCAGGCACTACACCAGCCTTTCTCCAAGAACTGCTATTCATACTGATGCTCCTAATATTGCCCTGGCCACTCTAACTCTGTGTGATGCTTTCCAAGTGACTCGGGTGCAGGCAAAAAACCTTTAGGCCAATCCCACAGCCAGCATCAGGATTCCTTCAATACAGACACTCTGCAGCTCCACAAACCACCCCACGCTCCACCTAAGGGGCTTATACAGAATCCCTTTTAGGCTCTTCTCCATGGGCGTTCACACTGAAATGTTATGCCAATAGGAGGGATGAACAACAAAGAAATTGTTAGTCCAGAATTTCACTGCCATTTTTGTTATCTCATAGAAATGCCCTAAACTTTGCAAAAAGTTTTTCTGCATAAAGGGAAAAGACCATGCAGACCTCTGACCGATCTGTCATACATACTTTTCTTATCTAAACCCTGGTCCTTCTGCCAGCTCACTTCCCAAACACAGAAGGTTTCCTTCCTACTTATCTCATCAGCAAAGATGAATGAATGGATGGATGAAGCATAGCTCCTAATCCTGCCTTTCCAACTCTGACCTCAGCAAGCAATACCACAGCTCAAGTCCGTTGCTCTCCCCCTCTGTGATACAGGCAAGCCACATACAGCAAAACCAGGAATTTACACAGGCTCCCTTCAGCGGCTGCTTAGGGCCTAGGGCTCAGTGACAATCAGAACCTAGAGAAGCCCTTTCTAATCCCCCCCTTTTTTTTTTCTCTCCCTGCCCCCAAGTAAGTGAGAAGACTCTGCATCCAGGGTGATAGGAAAAAGTATAGAGAAAAACTCAGCACATGGCTGTAGTAGAAGCCTCAGGGACTCCAGGAGGGCCTTTAAGGGCAGAGCTCCACCATGGCCCTTCATAGAATCATAGAATAGTTAGGGTTGGAAGGGACCTTAAAGATAATCTAGTTCCAGCTGTGCTCTATAGCACCTTAGGCTTTCCCTACCATAGCTCATGGTTTTCTGCATGTGACAACTGAAGGCATCAGATTAGGAAATCTTAGGGTGAGGAAGATAACAGAACTGTCTGGTACAATCTCTATTAAACCACATAACACCTGGCAGATTTACATGTTACATATGTATGCAGAACATATACACTATGTACGTGTAGGTAAGGGAAATCTGTAATGACACAAACATCTAAAGATGTATTGGACTTGGTTTTGAGCTCAGTAACATCACTAAAAGGCAGGAAAACTCCACTGCTGTCAAGCTAAAGCCACAGAAAACCACAGAAAAATAAGAACAAACAAGAGAGATCTCACAACTACAAGTTTTGTGTAAGCTTACTCTGCAAACATTAGCTTACTATGCTTACAGATTGAGAAAGAAAAAGAAAACCACCCCCCAACTTTGCACAGCCAGTCTCTTCAAGTATTTTAAATTGGGTAGAATGAGCTTTTTAATTTGTAATGTGAGTAGAACTGGCAATATAGGACCCTCTTTGATACTATGAATAAACCCCACATGGACAAAGATAAATAGAAGCGTGCTGCATGCAAAATGAAAGAGTGAAGATTGTTAAACACATGTATATTTTATTAAGAGGAATACATTTCTCCTACATCAGGAGTAACCATATAAATCACAAGGCCTCAGCTACAACCATTTAACAGTCTTCTGTAAACACCAACAAAAAAATTCACCTGAAATACATTTGTTTCAATTCACTTCACTGTGCTTATAAATAATCTCTCTGTCAAACAGGAACTAGTGCTGATCCACAGACTAGTCTAATCACTCCACACAAATCACTCCCTGCAATTTCAATAAAATACTCAAAGAATTTGAAGAATCATAAATAAGCAAAGGACTGATAACTCTCCCAATTAATCCTAACTCACAGTTGCCTATTTATTCATGCCTAAACCACAGCACACATCAGATTTCTTAACACCTGTCCTCCAGGTGGATGCTTACCTGAGCTGTTGGATTAGATCTTCCCCTTCTTTAATAACATTGAGTGTAGCATCCAAGGTAGCTGTTTGTTGCTGCTGAAACTGCTTGATAAGCTCCTGAACCGCATCCACAGAGTCAGCACAGACATCCTCTAAGAGCTCCTTCTGCAGATCTTCCATCCATGTCCACAGCTGGGAAGGAGGGGAGGGAAATATAAATCAGAGAGGATTGAGATTTAACCCTTTTGCTCTCTAATTCCTCATCAGTAAGCATTAACTGGGGCTGCATGTTTCACATGAAAACTGACTTAAAATTTCTAAAACCAAAAAAGATACATTGGTTATTAATTCTGGTTGATGCAATTCCATCTTAAGCAGCAAAGTAAAATAAATTTAGTATCAATTTTTTCCCCCAAATTAATCTGCATTTCAGTTTATTATGTAACAATAAGAAATTATATTATTCTGATTAACTCTTTACACAAGTAACAAATTACAATGCCCTACAGCTGTGATAAGCTAACCCTTTCCGGAGCTGTGTGCTATCAGCTGCTATTAATTTCACATGCAGCTGAAGCCTGTTGCAGAATAGACCTAAAAATCTTTGGTATGTATGTATGTATGGCATTGGCTGAACTCTAGCTGTGTCTGCTCAGCTATGCTTTCCCAGGCAGAAGGTTTTGTGGAGGGTTTAGGGTTTGTTTTTGAAGGGTTTTCATTTTGGTTTGAAGACGTTTTGTTTTGGGTGGTTTTTTTTTTTTGGTTTGAGCTTTTTGTGTGTTTCTGCCACTTAATCCCCTCCTCAAGTACACCTCAGACCCTGCTTTTCAACTCTGGGAAAATCCAAACACAGGAGACAGCAATATCACCAATCAATCCCATAAATTTTAAATAGTCTTGACTACCAATTTCCAGACAACAACAAATCATTTGAGTAGGCGCTTAGACGAGAATCTCCAGCCAGCTGTTCATCAGAGATCTGGACAGTGGCAGGCAAGCCCCAGCAGCCTCCCGTTGGCAGTAAAGGCTTAGAGCAAACAGCGGTTTCCCCTTTAAGGTTGCTCTGAAAAGTGAGTGTGTAATTGCACCGAGCTGGCAGTGTGCCAGCAAATCCTAACAGCTCCACCAGAGAGACTATTTTCTGTGCCATGCCTGCCCCATTAACCCACATTCTGCTGGTAAACTCTGCGAGGTTGCAGAGAAGTACAGGAGTGGGAAACAACCCGTTGCACTGGGAAACGTTAAAAGGATGCTGGCAGCAGGGCTGCACTTCTGCCTGCTGTCTCAGGGAGCTGCAGAGCAGCTTGTCTGAAAGGGACCTAGAGGTACACATGAAGGAGATGACAGATGCTGTGTGGGGTGGCAAAAGAGCTGTTAAAAACACTCCTGTTCAAAATGAGGTGCACTGGGTCCCCATCTTATAACATTTGTTTTGAGGCTGCAAATTCTGAATGTCCACGTAAAATGAGAGGAGGAGAGTGACATTTTAGAGCACCAGCTGACAAACCTTCTCAAAGATTCCAAACCTAAGGCGGGTCACTGAATGTTACACTACACACATGCTGCTGACTTCAAGGGTATCACCCTGATCTAAACTGAAATAAACAAACATCAGAACTTATTCCCAGCACTGCTCATGGTATCAGAACAGGGAGAACGCAGCTCCCTGTGCTCTGCTTCCACCTCTGCCACTGACTTCTTGTTTAACAGACTTACACAAACAAGTTTTAAAACATACGCTTAATTTGAAGGTTTTTCAATTAGAGTCAGCTTTGAATATTTTGGGTAAACACCTCTGTTTATTCATAAATAGCATCATCATAAGGGTCTATCCTGCTACTGGCCTCAAGTGGAATGTCTTTGCTCAGGTTATTTATATATTTCCATATTCTCAGGAGAAAGGCATGACTAAAACTGCAACTATTAATAAAAGAAACAAATATAATTAAATAGTCAGGCTTGAGACATAGATGAAAGAATAACAACATATTTAAAGAATTAAATAGAGAGCTTTTTCATATGTGGCCTGAGGTCTACATGCTAAACTTTGGGAAGGCACCATAAAGGAAAATGAATTAATGCCTTTATGTATGAATTACACTCGGAATCTTTCTGGTTTTGATCTGGTCCCTGCACGCACTCAAACAGCAGGGACAGCTGGATTATAACAGGCAGGACTGATTTGGCCAGAATTACTTTCTCTGCTTATCAGATCTTCAAGTAATAGAGCACATTGTAAACACAGAAGAGAAAAATGGCCATGTGCATAAATCAGCCTTCTGTTTTGAGCTAGGAAAGCCAGTAGTATTTTAATTTCTCAATGTCCTTTGTCATACTTCAGTTTTCCACTGAAGATAACAAAATAGCTCGGAGAATTTCCTTTATAAAAATGAAAATCAAATCGAGAGCTTGCTTCGTTATTAGGAGTCTGCTGTTTTCTTGAAATTATCATCCTAGAAAGGGCAGAGAAGAAAGTTTCTGATCCTCCCCATTGTGACTTCAGAGGAAACCCTATTTTCAAAAGTGTCTCCAGAACACAACTTTCAGCAGCTAAAAGGATTTTGACATTTAAGACCCTAAGTAATTTTCTGTGTACATGTATAAATCAAAGCAGTTTTGAAATACTTAAACAAACTGTATTGTACTCACCTGGAACCAAAACACTCATTAATTTTAGAGAGCACTCAAATATAGTAACTCACATTAACTTCAGCTGTTTCCATTAATGACCTCTGATTGTAAGGATTTGCATAAAAAAAAACAAACTATCAGAATCTAGGTCATCCTTTTTAATCCTTTATACTCCACCAATCCCTGGGAATCCTAATACAAAGAATCAGTCAATATTAGTAAGATTAGGAAGACCTTTCAGGAACTATTTACAATAGGAACCCAATTCAAAAACCTTCTGGGTTATATGGTACAACTAACAGCACCTGAAATAAATCACTACTAAGCCCCACTTGTGAATGCCACAGCAATGAAAAGATGAACTCCGTGTCACTGTAACACCACAGTCAGAAGAACTGTTAATCATAAAATAGAAACCACATCCTTTTTGTCACAGCTCAGGAAAATCAGTCCCTCTTAGGGCTGGATGTTTAACTCCTATGCAACTATTCAACTGATTTTAAAAAATCCTGACTATTAAAGCCCCATATCACCACACAACTTGTGCATATGCACATATGCAGATGTACACAGACATTTCAAATACTAATGCAGTATTTCCACATCCAGCTGTGGTGACTTTTATTAAGCTTGCCATGTACATGTCCAGAAAAGGAGATAATGTCTGCATTGTATTATTTAATATGTACTAAACCTTGAAAACAATGAAGAAGTAACACAAACATAATTTTTGTGCTTCCTTCAAATTGATCTGTGCCTTGGTATGATTAACTGGAGAAGGAAATACTAAGGCATTAGTGGTAAAACCTGATTTAAGTCCACCAAAGAGACCTAACCGCACAGCTGACTCATGCAAACTACGTCCAAAAATGTTATAGTTGTCAGCTACACAGAAGTCTGAAGCAAATACTGAGCCTTAAAACATCCACACTGAAGGTCCCTGGAAGCTCCAGAATTGAGGTTTTATTTGTCAAGGTAACCATGGCTTTAAACAAGAAAAAAAATTCTTTTCTGATTTACTAGACCAGAGGAAAAGAAGAATGACACCACTTCACCCCCTCTTCTTTTGGGGGGGCTTCTGGCACCTCTCATGCATTGTAACAACTTCCATATCTTTCTTGGATATAAAACACAGGCAGTTTCCCTCCATCCAAGAGACAATACAGCTCTTTTCCCCAGCTATTTTATCTGATGCAATACCCTTCATTTTACTCAAGTACTTAATGGGACCACTTACTGGTGGTTTGAAGGACATCTGTGCCTGTTACCTAGAAATTAATGCTTCTGACTTAGAATAAGGGACCACTTTAAACAAAATCTAAAACCTAAAGAGATTGCTAAGAAAATCATGCCTGCGTGTTTGGAATAACTATTGAACATCCAATGTTTATATGCTGCTGTTTGCAAATGCCAGAAATTAGTTTTAATCCCCTCAAAACCAGTTTAAAAACACAGAGTAATGAAATCAATGAAAAGTAAAGAAGCAGTCAGTTCAATCCATGAGAATTGCCATTGTACAACATTTTTGCTTCTTGTTCAAAACATGGATGTCAATGGAAACAAGCAACTTTCCAGGGTATATGTTCTACCCCTTTACTATGTCAGAGAAGCATCATGTGTTGCAGAGCCAGTCCTAAAAGGAAGCTCATGCCAACTCAGTAAAGTGAACATCCATCACAGCGACGAAGGCCAGAGCAGAATGCAGAAGAATTCAGTGAAATATGGGGACCTTCTTTTCCCACTTAGTTAGCACTGCTCCCACTCCGTGAGTTGTAACATAAGTGTGCAGAGAATCAAGGTCAGGTTGAGAAAAAAAATAATAAAAGATCATCACAAACAGAACTGCTCCAGAGACAGATGTCCATTAACCCTGTCTTCCTCTGCTATTATGCCAGGCTTACACCAACCTACTCTGAACTGTAACACCTACCTTTTTCATAATATGCATTAGTAAGTCGCATAGCCCCAAGCTGAGGTTAATTTATGGCAGGACTTCAGCCCATGCCTATCTTTAAGTGCCTGTTCAAGTGCTGCTGTGAATCTGGCTTCACTGCCAACCCTTTAGGAAATTGCCTTTTCTACCTTGATTTCCCACACCAACATGGTGCAGAAAATAAAACTTTTTGGCACAATCAACCTTCATCAGCTGATGTTTATTTGCACTTAGAATGCATCTATTGCTGTTTCAGTTGAAAGAGCTGATGGTTGTTATAAATTGGAAGCATGTTTCACAACATTTTCCAAAGTCACATTCAAGGTCTCGTGTAAATGTCAACAGAACCTTAGAAAACAATGTATGTAATGATGAGCTGCAATGTGACCACATGCCACCAATGAAGTGCCACACAATGACAGCATACCTAATAAAATGTGACAAGATGGGTTATGACCAGACACGGAATATGAAATGCCACAATATGTGACTTCCACCGTAAGGTACAGACAATGAGACAGCCTGCTGCAAGAAAAAATGTTGTCGGATACCACCAAACTGATTGGGAAGAAATGACGAGTGGAAAAAAAGGGAACATTCTGTAAAAAAAACCCATCTGATCTTTTCC